AAATAATAAAAAAGACAGTGAGATAAATAAAAAAACATAGAAGCTTTAAGCTTATTGAGTAGTCTAAAACCAAAACAGTAGGTTATTTTTCAATCCATTTGAGTCGTTAAGCTGTGCATTTCACCATTTGCTCATAGTCTATAAAATTATTTTCAATGGACTGAATTGCTAAAATATTCTAATTTTTATTTGATATTTTAAGTGTGAAGTACGTATCTTGCAAATTAAAAAAATTATTTGATTCTGTGTTCAGTTCATCTTTTTTGAGCGAGTTCACAGCAAATGTAATCTCAAGGCACTTGTCAACATAGAAGATCCAAATTTCAGATGTACCATATTTAATCAAAATGGATTTATTCCTTTTCTAGTCATATGAGTCAAATTGTCAGATAAGCATCGACTCACACACACTCTACTTAAATTTGTCATATAGCTAAATTCACTAGATGACATAAAACTAGTTATTAAAAAGTCAGTGGTCTTGAACAAAGCCTGAGACTTAATGAAATATTTTTAGTTTTTGTCACATTACAACCAAAAACTTTAGTGTATTTCTTTTTAGAATTGTATGTGATAGAGCAAGACAAAACAGAACTGATAGGATAATTATCATTGATGATGTGTGAGCTAATTACACCTTAATAATAGCTGCCTGTTGCATGTCGGAGATGGTATTTTCCCAAATAGTTTATCTAATTAAGGCAGTTCCTCTGTCTGGATATACAGTTATAATCTTCATTCTATATGTAGCAAATATTTGGGAATGGAATGAGAACATTGTCCCTCAGCTAAGAACAAAGTGTAATATTTTGATAAGGCTGGATCCATGGATGTCTACTCATCTGGTAACGTGTATGATGTAAAATGTGATGATGTGGCAGAGTGGAGATGTATAAAATGCCTCTTTAACTGTTAATTGAGGCCACTTCCCCTAGAAGTGAGCCCGGGGTATGCAGCTGCCTTCTGTAACTCTAAGCAACAATGTCTATCAAAATCTGTTGTCATGTCTCCTAGTTATTTAATACATATAAGTTATAAAGAGTTTTTATTGTTTTTAGTGTTCTCTTTTCAGAAAAAAGAACAGGATAGAGAAAGCTACACAGAGAGCCTATCTTTGACAGTACATAATATTAAAATGGGATTGAAATTATTTTCAGAAAAGTTCTCAAACAAATAGTTGAACTGTTTGGGGAGCATATCTGTTCTTTCCCACCTACCCTCAACTTTATGGAATAATTTTCATTTTAATTTCAGCTTAAAGTCTTCATATGCAAAACCAACTGCATAATCCCTTGAACCATTTGCCTTTGCTAGATACGTCGGTTAGACCTCAGTTAGAATGAATGTTAGGGATATGTGAATATTATTGTTTGTGTCTTAACACAAATATTCAGTTGGATTTAGGCTGAAACTTTTATTTGAGCATTGTAAGTCATGTTTGATCTCCTACATTGTAGCTCTGGCTGTGTGTTTCAGGACATTGTACTTATTAAAATAAACCTCCCAGTTTGAAGCATTTCAAGCCTTCAGATTCTCAACAGGATTAAATATTTTAAAAAATATTTTTGCATACACCTATTCATGAGCTCCAACCAAAATTATCTTTAATGCTCAAGGTAACAAAATAAATAAATCCCCACAGCAATATAGCATTAAATCATTATGTGCTATCATGGGTTTGCTGTGTGTTAGTATACAGTATACTCTGTAGATGCAAGAAGGCACCTTCTTTCATATGATTGCAGTGTCCCTCACATTGTATTAAGTAAACCTCTGACAGATCTTTCAATGGCTCTAGGCCTGATAACAGTGACGGTTTAAAGAGTTTTCCTGCCAGTACATGCTTCCACCTGAGCTGCAAATCACATTTGTCATTGGGCAGTTAGCTGCTCCTCTAATTAATATTCTCTTTGTATTATCTGTCAGTCAAGGTAGACACAGCATTTTGGTAGGTTTGTAGTTGTCCTTATTCTCTTTAAATGATCAGATGATGGGAACAGTGTTCTTGGAGTTTGCTCAACTATTTCTCCATCTAATTCTGTACTGAACATATCAATACCTCTGCTCTCTTTGTTGTTTTCCTTCATCTTCATGGTACTGTTTGTTTAATGATGCCGCTGGATTTATACTTCTATTAAACCACACACATATGGAGCTTCGTAACGAATGACTTCTAAAGACAGTTCATTTAGAATAGATTTCATTTCTGAATATTGGAATAAAGTTTGTTAATCTAAAACTTGTAAGATTTCTGTTTTGAATTAATGCATCATTATTTTTCTACTTCACACTTATGTGCCCACCTCTGTTAGATAGATACATAAGAATTCATAAAAAATTACTAACAAAGATTTTGGTTTATGAAAAACTTTCAGACATTAGAAGATTTGTAAGGCATTGTGAGTTCTTAAAACAATTAATTCAAATCAAAACCCTTTTGCTTTTATCATGAACAATGTGTATTTGCACAGTTTATCTTTAAAAATGCTTTTGTAAAAATGTATTACCGTTTGAATTTCTTTAATGATAGATCCTTCTCTGAATCCTTCAACTGACAGCAACAGCTCAGACTTTTAAAAGTCAAAGTCACAATGACAGAGATGTGAAGAGAAGCATGCTCTGCTTCAATTCCTATGTCCCATTTTCTCTGTTTTTTCACTGAAACAAATTCTGCAGTGGAGCCTGTATAAACCGCCTAGGACCCTTTTTATTTTTGTATTCCAGAAGTTTGTTTCTTAAGTGTTGCTGAGCAGCTATATAATGTGATTGTAAAGCTTTGTGACAACCTGAAAAGTAAACAGTCATCCTTCATCCACAAAGTAAAATGATTTTTAATAGCTGTTATGCTGCAGGGGGTAGATTGCTGGATTGTTCCAGCCCACTTGCCTCCAAACATATAAGGATCCTGTGTTGATCAAGTTGTTCTGAGTCGTTGCCTCAGTCACAATTCTAAATAGCTCTGCCCTGTATACACTCTTTTAGGGTACCATGGATAAGACAGGTGAGGTTAAAGAGCAAATATTGTTTTCTTTTTAATGAGGTCTTAATTTTTTATCATAGGTATCCTTTAAATATAAGAGACAAAATGAGAAAAATCTGAACAATCACACTGGATGATTTTTTTTTTAAAGAAACTACTAGGAAAGTGTGTAGAAGTCAATTGTGAGAATAATTATAAGAGAATGGAAGACATGCAATACCACTGATTATCTCCCTTGATTCGCAGGATCTCATCCTGTGTGATAAAAATGATTATGAGAATGGTGAGCAAAATTTCCTGAACTACACAGAGGCATCTGATGAAGGACCTGCAGAGAGATATGACCAAAGTAACAAAGGCTGCCATCAGTAACACACTACTCCATGAGTGGCTCCAACCCTCCAGTACTTGGCATGTCCCCCTGGCTAAGCCAGTAAATGTCCAGGCTTGTCTAAAATTGGCCAGATCTTAAGGATGATCCAGAAGAAGAGTGGAAGAAAATCCTTTGATCAGATAAAACAAAAATAAAACTTTTTGGTACAAAATCAACTTTTTGGAGGAATACCTCAGATTCCACATCCCTAGTTCTAGTTCATAAATTAAAAGATAAACACATCTGACAAAAAAATCTGATGTTTTTTTTTTTCTTTGTCACATAACTTTCCTATTTATTAATAGGTAGAGTTCCAGTCAAAGGTTTACATTTACTTATCTTCAGTCAACTTTTATATTAACTCTAGGGCTTTTCTGTAATCTTTAAACCATTTTTTTCATTGAGAGTGAAATGATCGGCCAACTATTTCAATTATTTTTTGATAAACAAGAATCGACTGAAAAACTTCAAACTTCTTGTGGATTTTTTTTCATCTACATAAAATCAAAAGTATGCACAGAGGCTCAATAAAGAAATAATCTAAAATCACTAATATTTCCACAAATATCCTGAGTCAATCTTTAAAGAAACCCTTTACTTTGTGTAGGAATTAAGCATGGCCTTCAGGAACTCTGTGATGTCAGAGCTGATGGGATCTCATGCGTAGCACATGGTGTTTAAAACATCTTACATATAGCTTTATTATTTAACTTTATCCCCACTTCAGATGTTTCCATCACAGCTTGATAGTTTGTTGAATGTGTTCAGGATTTGAACTTGGATCTCTCTGGACTTTCTTTTCCAGATAAATGCAGAATCAGATTTTCTATGTCTTGAGTTGTAAATAAAGATAATGATTGAAGTTTGGAACACCAGCTTGTTCATGAACTGAATATGACTCAATATTAATCATTAACTGCACTCACTGTGGACATCCTGATCAGTTTGAGCCTTGGTGGTCCACATTTTGTTTCTGAACATTCTCACAAATTTTTGATCATCTAAAGATTTGGGTCAGATGGTTGAAAGTGAATACAGTTCAATGTACGTTTCAATTGGACTATCAAGAAAGAACAGTTCAAATAAATAATTCAAAAGTACAACATTGATCTAATGTATGTTGATCTCTGATCATACACAGAGTAAGCATAAAGTCTAAAATGGTCAACTTAATCAAAAATTATCTTGTACAGTGCCTAAGCCATTCCCTTATTGTAGTTATGTCTTTTATTCATTCAGTCTTTTAGATTAACATCTAGAAGTCTAGAAAAAAGCGTTTATGAGCATATGTTTATTTAAGCTCACTATCTCCAGACAAGTTTGTTTCTTGGAGTTGTCCCTCAACTGCAGACACAGCCAACACACAGCTGTTACAGCCATCTCTGGCACTTCAAAACTCTCTAAGCGCTATAAATCGAGTGTTTTGATCAATACTTTCAGTCCCTGCATATCATGAGGCACCTAACATCCTTTACCCTCGTTAATGAAATATTGGGCAGATTGCGACAGTTTTGAAAGTCAAATTAAGGCAGAGTTATACATTTCTGTCACTGCAGGCTAAATTTAAACTAATAATCATTATCGTTGTTTTCTCTCCCTCCCCAACTTCTGGCTTGTCATGCACTGCTAATCTGGACATCCACGCAGGCTCAGGTCAGTGCTATTCATTGTGTACATATTCTATGCTTTAGCTAATGAGGAGAAATGCATGCCAGATCTGAACAGTTCACATGTACTGCTGTCTCCTTCATCTTCAGCATACAAATTTAGCAATTTAAAGGGATAGTCCATACCGAATCCGTGTGAATAATATTTTGTCCTAATTTTACTTTTACGTGCTCTCATTCAGAACATTAGCTCTTTGTTATACTATAAATTGCCAGCTAGATTTTTGAGAATGTGATCAAAAGAAACTGGGCTGGGGTAGAGCACTTGTATTTCTTATCAAAGAAAATTGATTCCAGGCCATTTTAAAGGAGAACAAAAGAGCCGAGGATAGAGACACTCTTGGAGTAGATGAATATAACTGATTGCCAATTCTACCTTATTCTGTATATGTAACCTTTAATGTACTTGAAAGAAAAAAAAATTCTCTGGGTTTTGCTCAGTGTTTATAGTTTATATCAACTTAATTTTGGATAGTTTCTTTTTTAAACAGCATTATATGTTATTGTTTCTCTTATCAGCTACAGTATGTTTAGAACAGTAGATTAAAACACTTTTATCTATTAGCAGATTGTAAATTCATAAGGTTACTGATGAGTGATGGTAAAATATGCTTAATGTGTAACACATCAGACACCAAAGAATAATTGTAGTTAAACCGAACTCTCCACATTGAATTTCAGTTCATAAAGTGAAAATTAAATCCATAATTTAACCAGTAAGGGGGAGGAAGTCAGGACTGTTGACAGCATGCAATAACTGGTATTGTATGAGCGTATAAGGCTGTTTAAGTAATCAGAGGAGAATGGACCGTCAATCAAAAAAGAGAATCTGAATTACAAAACTTCTACCTATTCAATTCTAAAAGGTTTCTGCTCCAGTTCTGACCAGCATTGGAAAACTGACAATAGTATCGGAAGTCCTACTTCTCTAAACTGTCTTTATTGCTACATAGCTTTATAGTGAAGCGCTACACACTGATAGTAACAATCTCACTTCTCTCCTGTAATCAGTCACTGTTTTGTTAATGAGGGTTTAACTGCACTCCAGTAATTGATAATTCCAGTTTCAAGCACAATGGGTTTCCCATCACTAAATGGAAAAAAACACAACTTAAAACTTTGTTTTCTTTCAGCAACATGTGTGCTCCTAAAAAATTTGTATAAATTTAGTAAATACTTAGTCAACAACTACAGATCAATTTTATCTCCTTTAATTATCTTAGACACACGGAAAAAAATTTGATGTTGCTACAGCAAGTGATTGAGCATAAGTAAGCATTAACTTACAGTACCCAATAAACTTCACTCTTATATCCAGTTACCTTATTACCTTATACATAATTTTACATAAACTATTTTTTCAAGCCATTTTCTGTGCTGTGATCCAACATATTTGGGTTGTTCCTTCTCTTAAAGTTACATCTGTTTTCTAAAAGAGAGACTGTATTTGTTTGGAAAACATACTTTAGTCTAGCTTGACCTTACTTATACAGAGCTAACTTAAAATTCCTGCATAGATCTTTTTTTAAGTGCCTTTTGTCACACGTCTGTTGTTACAGATTCATTCAGCATCTTTTCCTTAGTTTTTGTTAGAGAACTAATCCATTACATTAGTTCTTTGACAGATGTACAGATAATGCTGCTATTTTCATCAGTTGACTGACTTTGGACAGGTTTTTGTTTTAAAGAATCCTGTTTTAAAATGACTTATACTGCAATATGCTTCGAAAATATATAAAGGCTGGTTTGTCTATATTTTATAATGATGATTGCCCTATGATACCGCATTCATTAAGGAAATTGCCGTACTTTTTTGCAAAAGCTTTTTCTCATAATTCAGACTTTAAAGGCCGGTAAATAGTTAAAGAAAGAGCTTTTTTTTTTTTTCAAAAAAAATTTTTTGCAGATTTTTCCAACCTGTCTATCTATCTGCAGTAGTAGTAAAGAAAGTGGAAGTACGGAAGTTGCCAGTTTTCCCAGCACGGGCATCTGCAGGGACAGATGGGAGATGATGACGGTGTGTAATAGGCATCTGTGTGGCCCCAGGGAAGGGAATACTCGACACTCATTCCCACTCTCAAGTCTGAGCACACAAACACTCAACACGCATTTAGTGACACACATTACAGCTTGTCATAGCTTTTCCCACAAACTGTCCTCAAGAGCGTACCTTTTACTGTGGTAGACAGTTACATAGATTGAGAGTAAACATGTGTTTTTTAGAGGAACATTTTGCTAGCTGCTAGATTCATCAGCTGAGTGGGGAGAAGTGAATGAGCTCAAAATCCGGCAAATTACATCCTTGGCTGGAGGGGTTGTTGCCATGGTCATTGCCATTTCACACACACCATGCTGTTTTTCTATGTCCTACATAGGTTTTTTTTCAGTGTGGACAAAATAGTTTGTATCCCTTTCTTGCTGCTGCAGAATGTTAAGTATACTTAGCTCTGACGCACAGTCGAGATTCTTTGTATAGAGCCTCTCTCGTCTGTTGACTTTTGTATCTAAAAGGCTTTTACATTTTGTTTGGCATTTCTTTTCACTTATTTACACTTTAAATGTCACAAATAAAATGGGCTTCTTTCTGTTTTTTGCCTACAACAAACCATAAAGGGAAAAAAAACTCAAAAAAGGAAGCTGTTAGCACGTATTGTATAAACTTAGACTTTAAAAGAACTAGCTTTCCGAAATGAAAAGAGTTAAATTATTCCTGACATTCTTCCTTGTAGAATAGGCTTTATATAGCGTCAGTAGAGTGTAGGTCAGCATCAGCAGGGAGGTGCACATGGTTTCACTGCAGATGTCTCCCACAGAGTAGCAAAAAGACCCCTGACTGAATAGCACACAGATGGCATAAGCTACTTAAGTTGCAGAAAATTAAACTAAAATTTTGAAGAGTTCATGATTTATTTATTTTGTTTTCTGGAAACAAAAAAATATTAAATGGAAGAGAAAAGTCAACTCAAATATAATGAAGATTGTTTTAATCATGTTAAAATACATTTATTTCTTATTTTGTATATCTGCTTATCAAATTTAGGACCCACTTAGTTAGCACTGCAAGCCAGCATACCATTATACAGTGCAATGTAAAAAAATCCAGAGAAAATGAATACCAGCCCCCTAGGAAATGCACAAAGTTATAAGATTAGAATTAATTTCAGTAATTATAAAATAACCGTAATCAAATAAGCCATTATACAGTATAGTGATATACACAAGAATATTCATGATGATATAAGTGTCAGTTTCTGAAGTAAAAACTAATAATTGAATAGCATGTCTATAGTATAGTGATAGAATTTAATCTAATCTAAAAGAAATGTTGTGTCTCGGAAATTTTGAAGTATAAATAAAAATGTATAATTAGTTTTTAAGATTTACTCTTTATTTACAATAACATTTGAGGAAGTTAAATCCAACCCCCTAACAAAAAAGTTTTTTTTATATAACATTTTAAAGTTGACAGTCATGATGGACAGAAGTAAGACAGGATGCAGAATTTTGTTATTTAGATGGCTTAGGATAGTTAGGTCATTCTTTAGGTAGCGGGAAATGATCGCTGTTAAAATCAGGAACATATATGTCATGAATTATTCCACAAATACGGTTTGAAGTATTTCTGCAAGTTACCTGTATATAATGCCAGTGCCTGATGTATGTTTATGTTTTCTGGCAACTGGTTTGTAAGCATGTTTTGATGCTGCATTTTTGGTTCTATTTTTTATGTATTTCTCCTTTATTCTGCTCACATATACGGTGTTGTTTGTGTGTGTCTGCTTGCCTATGCATGCATGTAGGTGTATGAGGCTGTGCCATGCCAGAATGAATGCAGCCAGTACGAATGGCAGATCGAACCCTGGTCCATTTGCACAATCAACACTGTGGATGACCTGCCAGCCTGCGGGGAGGGAGTCCAGAGTCGGAAGATCAGGTCAGTAAGTGGATTCGGGTTGGCAAACCATTTGCTTCACTTGGCAGGATACAAAAGTAGAAACAGGGTTGGCAAGAAAACTGTAGCCAGTTCACACTAAGGGGAAACATTCACGACAAGCTAATGCCTCACAATGAATGTTGATAGATAGTTTGTACTTTGTTTTTCTTTTTTATGGTGGTCAAATAGCATCAGAGACAATGGGGAATTGAATTAAGTATACTGTAAAGATCGATTGTTTAGCTATAGGCTAAATGGCATTAAGCAAACTTGAGCTGAGTACATTTAACATTTGCATGTTAAAAAAAAAACAAAAAAAAACAGCATTCCATACATGCCTTATAAAATATTAATTCTGTTTGAGCCTTCTTGAACCTTCTTAACCATTATATTGCTCTAAAACCACAAACCTCTGTATTGTATTACGATTTTATGTATTAGACCAACATATATTATTTTGATATAGAACGAGAACGATGGCACATCTATCACAAACAGAAAACTAAAATCTTTGGCACACATCTGCAGTTACTTTGCTGAGTCAATACTTGTTAGAAATAAATGTTAATTATTTGCAAAATTTAGTACTTGCAGCTTAGTCAGATTGGATTAATAGCATCTGTAAACAAAAATATGTAATACTTGCCATAGGTTCTTAATTGAATTTCGATCTGAAACTCAACATGGATGCTTGAACACAACGTGATTTGATGTAAACACCTAATCTGTAGCTCTGCTTGGGTGTTTATTGTGTGAAGTTGTGTTCATATCATGTTTACAAAGAGGGTAGCTTGTATACAGGTACATAAGTAGCAATATACCCAAACATGTCCTTTCACATGGCAAACAGCAAAAATCAACTGATTGGTTATTAATTCAATGTTTCAGTAAATGTATGTTTTTCCATCTAGTGAAAATGTATTATTTAATATCTGTGTTAGTCTAACACAGTTTCATATAAAAAAGAAAGGAATATGTTGACCCGTGCTTTAATAATGACAAAGAAACACATAGAGAAAGCTCAAAGGACTAATACGAACTAGACTCTTAGGAAACGCTAGCTTCATATTTTAGCAATCCATGTGAAAATCTTCAAAATGAATCTGTGTATGCAAGTGGGACGGAGTCATAACAACCTCCTGAGACTTGTTCTGAAGGTGCCTCTGGTGTTTTTCTCTAGGTGTGTGATGAAGGGAACAGCTAGTCGGGAAGATGCCAGCGTAGACGTCAGTCTGTGTGATCAGGAGGAAATGCCTCCCAGGGCCCAAGTTTGCTATTTAGCCTGTCCTAATGACTGTGTAGTGGCAGCCTGGGGAGCATGGAGCAACTGTCCTCCGGTAAGAAACAAAATATTTTAACTTTCTTTCCTTTGACACATTGTGTTCTGTAGTATGATGTAGAGAGATTTTTGCTAAAATGTTTTGCCACTAATATATGGCATAAACAAATAAGTAAATAAACAAATAAACACACAAACAAACAATAATTATATAAATAGCAGGATAGTGGAAAATTTTTACTATGGATAAATAAAAAAACAAAAGCATTTTGGAATAAAGTTTAAAGAAAATAGAGCTTTGGATATAAAAGAAGAAACTGTAGTTTAAGATACATGTCTTACGTTTTTGGAATCAGAAATACCCTATGAACAAAATGTCTGTTTTTACATGGAAGTCAATTGGAGATGGTGCTACATATAAACAAGCAAATGCATAGTTCACATAAATAAATATGAAAATATAAAAATTTATGCAAATGCAAGCTGTTTAAGAATAGCATAATGACAGTGGCAATATCATGGCAATTTAATAAAATTAGATTATATATTATTTATATACACATTATGTATATACACACTTAGATGTTTGTTTTTTCTTCTTGTGTTCTTTCTTTGTTTTGTTTTCCTCCAACATTGTCAGAAGAGGAACTGGGTCTTGTTAATGAGGCTACTAGCTGATGGTTAGAAGCCGTTTTTTGTGATTGACAGTAGCCTCCTGGCTCCTGCCAAAGGGGAGAGTCTAACACAGTATGTGTTAATGGTGGCAGTGGTCATCAACAAACTTTTCTGCTTACCTCTTGGTTCCTGAGATGTACAATTCAGGAACAGCAGGGCATTTCTAGACAATCACCCTCTCTGCAGCACTAAATATATCCTGCACCCTTGTCCCTGATGATGAGAGCACCAAAAGAGATGATGATGGAGTAAAGGGTTGACTTAATAAGCAGAAGCGCACCATCATTGTCTTTGTCCATCTCCACTGTTTGAAGAGTGGTGAGCTCCAGACTGTTCTGGCTACAGCAGTTCAATAGATGAATCTCCCACCTATAGGATGGCCCAGTGAGGGTGGTGTCACCTACAAACTTCAGGAGCTTGATAATGCTCCTGAAGTCAGGACCATCAGCTCCTTGCTGATGGTCCTGAAATCCAAGATCTATTTACCCAGCTTCATATAGGGCAGGGGTAGGCAACCTCATTTTTCGTGTGCCGCTTCTGCATGTATCCCTTTTTAAACACACCAGAAATAAATTACTGGGTAATGGCAAGGCCTCTGCTAAAATTACCGACATGTCAAGAAGGTAATTTGGCCATTAGTTTCAGGGGTGTTGGAGCAGGGATGCATGCAAAAGCTGCAGTGACGTCGAGGAATAAGGTTACCTACGCCTGATGTAGGGGTTTGTGTCTACCAGGAAGCCTGTGATCTACCTGCAGGTGAAGTGAGGGAAACTCAACTGGAAGAGCTTGTTCTGCAGGATGATATTGAAAGCGGAGCTTAAGTCTACAAACAAGTTCCTGACATTGGTTGCTGGGAAGTCAGAGTGATGCAGGAGGCACTGAAAAGCCAAATGAATAATTTCACATGAAAACTAACTAGGTTCAAGCCTCACTTCTGAAAACACGGTCCTCCGCCATAATACCCTTAGCCTCAAACATTATTCTTCACACTACCCACACTATGCTTTGGATTGTGTATACATAAGTGGATTGTGATGGAAGGCTTGGGTGCAATTTCTTGGCTTCAGAAACACATTGAAAGACAGTCTCTGGGCAATGATGTTAAATTATTTTACCCTATATGAAGTTTGGATATCTGTAGCTAGTCACTCTGCAGAAGGAAATGGCCCATGCAAATGGTGGCCATGTTGAGGGGGATTTACAAAAGTTATTCTGGCTGTTCTATTTATCTGAGAAAACTGTTTGTGCTACTGGGAAGCAGCATGGCTGTTTAAGAAAGATGAGCTATGAAGAAAATCAGTTGGAGGTTATATTATGATTGATCATATGATAATCTGATAATAAAAAAAAAGGTTATAATAAATAGTCATAATGTACTTTACATTAAAATATCTCAATCTACCACATAACAACAAGGACAAATCTACTAACATGTAAAAGCTAAAAGTTAGAGTTAAAAGACTAGATATAAATCATAAAATCTGGAAAATTTGACTCTTTCTGACAACCAGTCCAGATAGCAGCTGTCAGACTTACAGCTGTGACTTACAGCAAAGCTTTAAACAGCTGTGTTTATCTTCATCCACCCCTGAAAACCCCTACCTGATGCAAAGCATTGCAAACCAATGTAAGGTGATATTGATTAAATAAAACATAACTATCCTATCAATAAAGAAACATTGAGGGAGAGGAAAGATAAAATAAAAATCTCTCTAGCCCACAAGATTGGCGTGTTCATTTTTAGGCAAGTGTGAAATGTTTTTAACTCTTCTTCACACTTTTATGTGTCTTTACAGGTTCTATTTTGGATTCTTGACCTTTGGTTACTGTTAAAAATCAGTTTTCTTTGTTTGCTATGCTGCAATACTTAAGTTCCGTTCCAAGTCTATTTCATTTTACTGAAATTAATAAAGATTGTTTGCATCACACTGCATTAATCTATCCTAAATATAAATATTTCCCCTATTAACATTGTCCAACTATGGTCACTTCTTTCCAAATATGTTCATATGCACACAAATATTCTCTTCCTCATCTGTCAGTGAAGCTGAACTACAATGACCACAGAACGTTTTGTTTTTAAATTTGCAACCAACATTTAGTTTTGCTGAATACAGACACAAAAACAGCACCCTTTACAGGTTTAATAGATTACTCTGTGTATGGTAAGGAATTAAATGTGCATATACTCCTCTCAGCTGTTTGTATCTTCTATTGATCAGTGTATGTTCTCCATACTCATAAAGGCAAAGGAACTGCACTACTTTGCTTTTGTCACAGATGCAATTCTACTTAAAGCTAGTTAGTTGATCAGCTTTACGCATGCCATCAAGTTTATGCCCAATTTTATGCAAACAAACCTTTCTAAAAATCATATCCTTTGTGCCCCTCATCAACAGACTGGTTTTACATGGCCTAACCACTCTAAGTCTTTGTGTATGGATAGGTGTCAATGGACAGGGCCATGGTGGATGGGGGTGGGCATATGTAAGGGAGAGGTAAGAGTAGATTTGGTGTTGGAGGCTAGATATAATTAAATAATTATTTTTATAATAGAGAATAAAAATAATGTAGGGAAGGAAGTAGCTGTGCTGGTCCTGGCAAGAGTTAGTATTATGTTAGTATGTATACTATGTAAATGCTTTGTCCCCTCTAAATAAATCATTATAAATGGCGGAGGTGTTATCGGTCATGATAGCTGTTACAGTACAATACCATGCTGACCACAGAGATTGTACATCTGGACTTATTTGACAGAAGCTGTTCTCTATGTTGCAATAAGATCCTGAAAACAAACTTTTTCTTTTTTTTTCCTAAAATTTATACAAAGTTACTGTCAAGTTTGTGTGGATATGGTTATATGTGTTTGTATGTATGTTGAAATATTCCTAGCTGAAAGATCTTAGATTGTTATTTAAAACAGCTGCAACAATAATAAAAGTACTCTTATGTTTTTGTACTAATTACTTCATCTCACATTTATTTTTTATCACCTTTCTGTATGTATTTTTTCGTCCTTCTACTGCTGAATATAATTTAACACCTGTTTATGTCCTTTATAGGTCTGTTCCATTTCAGAAATAAAACTTTTGTTATTTGTTCAACCAAGAAGTCACATTTTAACACTAATTCCAAAATATTTGGTGAAAATGATTGGTGTTTCCATTTTCTATTGAAAGTTTGGCCCCAGGCTTTAACACATTACAACTTGTTCCCCAGTGTTGTAGCCACAGGCTAGTGGTTACACGGACATGTTTTAATGTTATAGGTTTTCTGTCAGAAATAGCAGTTCACTGAACTGGAACATTGGAGTAAGAGAGAGAACAGAATAAAAGCAAAAAAGCAAGAGAGATCACTTAATTAATCTGTTAGGTTTCTTTTCTTCTCTTTTTTTTTTTTTGGTCTGGCAGACATGTTATCATATTCAGACTTTCCTTCTGAAATGTTTAATAGCACCATAAAACATGAGAAATATGCTATAATCTGTCCAGAAATATAATAACCCAGAGCAGTTTGCACCGGATAAAAATAATGTTCGATTAATTACAGTTATTAAAACATGATCATGGAAAAAATATGTATTTACTAATGTGTTAGTGTTTTTCAGCTGCTTTGCTTTTGGTACAGTTTAAAAAGTTTTTGGTTCAGACTTTTGGGTAGTTTTTTGTACATTCGCCAATAGTAGGAAGACATACTCAAACCTGGATAAATGTAAGAAAAATAAGAGAAATTGAGGGGTAAACCAGACTTAAATTTATTTTTTATTTATTACCAAAAGAAAAACATTTCTGAAAAAATGTTTTATAGGCAAACTTTTTTAGTGTGCAGTCTAAGACGATGAAAAGTTGAGGCTCTTCAACTTACTGGGAAGGTTTTAAATTAAATAGAATTAGCAAGCTGCTCTGTTTGCATATGTTATTTGAAATGTCATCCACATTGTTTTAAGCTAAAAGATGCTGTTAATGGTTTGAAATTTATAACAGTTGATTATTTGGTTGATTAATTACTTTAACTCATTTTACCAAACCGAGCAAGGTGCTAAAATATAAAATGTTTACTGTGTTTATATGTGTCACAGTTTCGTGTGCTGCCATATGGTGACTCATGTTTAAATTCGTCTGGAATTTTTCACTACTGAAAGATGAAAAAATGTACACTGAGAATAAGAATTTTAAAAGAATAAATGTAATGAGAAAGAATAAATATCATCCGCTGCCAGGGTATTGTTAATGAAGAAAAAGCATGTTTTTTTTTTCCCATTAAGCCTAAAACTAAATCCTTCAAAAATTGGTGTAATTCAGCAAAAAAAAAAAAATACAAGTATCTAAGCAATTGTGGTTGAATCCAAATGAGACCTGCAGCATCCTGCACATCTATTCACAC